AAAAACAAGTAGAGATGTTTTTTTTTAACTGACTCCCCCCCCCCCCCCCCCCAACCCTTCTCTCTCCCTTCCAGCGGGTCTAGATTATGTGGGAATCAGCCGTAACTTGGATTTTGCTCCAGGTGTGACCATGCAAACTTTTCGTGTGACTGTTCTCGATGACCTTGGCCAGCCAGAGCTGGAGGGACCAGAGACATTTGAGTTGGTGCTGCGTATGCCCATGAACGCAGTCCTTGGAGAACCTAGCAAAACTGTCATCACCATCAATGACACTATCACAGACAGTGAGTAAAAAAAATTAAATAAAATCTATAAAAAAACAAAAACAAGCACAACTCCTTTTTTACAGTTTCAGAAGACATCAAAATACAGATCAAATGTATATTAGTGCCAGTACACTCAGTTCCAAACACTCAGACATGTTAGTTGAGTGATACTGGTTGATTAATCAATGCTGGATATTTCTGCAGTGCCCAAAGTCGAGTTTAGGGAGGCAGAGTACAAAGTGGATGAGGCTGATGGAGAGGTGAAGGCAATGGTGTACCGCAGTGGCGACATCAGTCAGAGGTCCACAGTCCACTGTTACACTCGCCAGGGATCTGCCCAGGTCATGATGGACTATAATGAACGACCCAATACTGACGCGTCTATCATTGTGTTCCTACCAGGTCTGTTTCTTTTTTCATCCTGTTCCTCGACCAGCCTTTCATCTATCTACACTCTCATGATCTGCTCATCTTGTGTATCTGCATGTTTACAGGGGAGATCGAGAAGCCATGTGTAGTGACTTTAGTGGATGACACGATTCATGAAGAGGATGAGGAGTTCCGTTTGGTTTTGGGCACAGCTAAGAGCAAATCACCATATGGAGCTGCAGTAGGGGAACAAAAAGAAGCTCTGGTCACCATCACTGACCATAAGGATAGTAAGTATTCTTTTTCTCTTCATTCTTGACAAATATCTGCATAAAGAAGATCTTGATGAGCTTCTCTCACAGCAAACAAAACAAATTTTCCACCGCAGAGTCCATCATCAGGTTTGCTGAGATCAAATACAGTGTTAGAGAGCCACAACTTCCTGGAGAGATTGCTGTAGTGAAGATTCCTGTCCTACGTCAGGGCGACACCTCCAAGGTCTCTGTGGTGAGAATTCACACCAAGGATGGCTCTGCGACGTCAGGAGAGGACTACAATCCCCTTTCTCAAGGTTAGCAGAAGAGTCATAAATATAAAATCCCATAAGATGCCATACTATTAGCAGAAATGATTTTACCATGTCCATGATCAATAAAACATGTAACATGCTGCTCAAAAGGAGTGGAGAATTGACACAATTACAGTCACATATATGCAAAATGGTTATCTAATTCCTTTCTGTATATCTTTGTTTGTATGTGCTTACAGATGTGGAGTTTAAAGAGGGTGAGACAGAGCATGTGGTGGAGATCCAGGTTCTCTATGATGGACAAAGAGAGATTCGTGAGGCTTTCACAGTACACATGAAGCCTGACGAGTATATGGTGGCTGAGACACAGGTCAGCGAGCATCAACTCTAAAAATACCCCCAGAGATGCCACATCGCACACTCGCACAGACACACGCTAACGTGACTCTCGTGCTAAAATAGCCATGCGGCAGCTGCCTCTGTCAGCAGGAGCCAATCGCTGTCTCCAGGCTCTTTCAGAGGAGTCTTGTATGATGTAAATGGGCCTCAATAGACACAGTGACCTATAAACAGAGTTATCCACTGAACATGTACAAAAGCCATTTTGGTGGGCTTTTTGCTATCTTGTTGACAGTGAGAGTCTGAGAGACGACAGGAAATGATACTGAGAAGAGCTCTTGAACTTGGGTCGCCTGCACATAAACGTCACACTTTCAGTCTCTGACTGAACATTTAAAATATGTTCAGAGCTTTACTACATAGACTACTATATTGAACTGGCCATTAATACTATATTGAATACTATTACCCTTTCAATACTATACTGAAAGGCCCTGGGGCTGGATATAGGAAAATCTTCTTGATAAAGAAGTTACAAAATTCTTTAAGATACATTTTAAGAAGTTTGTAAGAATGGCAGTTGTTGCCGAAGTCTCGCTGATCAACTCATTGAAAAACACTTTAAAGACTGTTTTTTTTTTTTTTTTTGCGAGCAGATTACAGCAACAATCATAATAAGCATACACACTATGTTTTGTCATGACAGGCTTGACGGGAGTTTAGCATTCACCATCTTGTTTTTTTAATGTGCTGTGCATTTTAAAGAATTATTTTTTAAAGAGCCTGTCTCAAGCTGGGGTGGTCTCTTGCATTCATTTGCGCTCTGTTTACATTATCAGTGTCACTTCAGAGTACTCATCTCTAGTAATAGTAAAATGCATTGCCAATGTTGTAATGCTTAAAGGGGTCATATGATGCTATTTTAAAGATCATTATTTTGTGTATTTGGTGTGACAGAATATGTTGACATGCTTTAATGTTCAAAAAACACATTATTTTTCAAATACTGTACATTATTGTAGGTCCTCTATGCCCCGTCTCTCTCAAACACGTAGTTTTCAACAAAGCCCCCTCCTTTGACAAGCGCAGTATGCTCTGATTGGCCAGCTGACCCAGTGCATTGTGATTGGCCGAACACAACAAGCACGCGTCGGAAATGTAACGCCCCTTACCATAATTGCAGCTTCAGCTTTCAAAGTAAATATCAAGACTGCTAATAATGTCATTAGTTTTACCATCAGTTCAAGCCCGAAAGGGCAACAGAGTCATGTGACAGACACAGTGATGATGCAGTACACAAGCTGCGGTTAAGACAGCTGATGTGCTATGATTTCTGACAGGCAGTTCACTCTCCTGTGATGTGACCCTGTTCCCCTCACACACACACACACACGACGCGTTACTCTGTGCTGCGCAAAACTCCGCATTTGAACAGTAAATAGCAAATACTTAAACTAATAACAAAACATACTTACAGTCGCTGATTCTGAAGCGCCAGATTGTCATAGCAAAGTCGGAATTGACCCTTCTTTTTTTTTTTTAGAAATAGCCTTTGTGCACAGCCAGCCTTGTACTCTTCTAGGTTAAATTGTCATATGATGCTTTTTTAAAATAAATCTAAAAGGGGAAATGCCCGAAAGGGGAACAGAGTCGCGTGACAGACACAGTGATGAAGCTGGTATGTGTTTGCAGTCCACAAGCCACGGTTAAGACAGCTGACTCCACTGTGATGTGACCCTGTTCCCCTCACACACACACACACGACGCGTTACTCTGTGCTGCGCAAAACTCCGCGTTTGAACAGTCAATAGCAAATACTTAAACTAATAACAAAACAGTAGCTGATTCAGAAGCGCCAGATTGTCATAGCAAAGTCAGAATTAGCACCTCTCCTAGGTTCATGAAACGGTCGTCCATAAAATGCATTACTGTTCTGTTGTAAGTAATCTTAAAGATTCCTAAATGCATCTACTTTCGGAAGGCCAAATAAAGTGCTTTTCCTTTCGCACTGAATCACTCAGCGACTCCCTGACATGCTGCTTCAACACTAACTGCGGTTACTGAAACCACGCGTTCTTTCTTTGCGTGCACATTTGGCCGGCATTATGCTAATATTTCCACATAGTGACGTAGATATGTGGAGGCGTGTTAGAACGAGCCGTTTTAGGTAGGTGGGGCTGACTCTTAACTTTTATAAAGAATAGCTCTTTGGATTTGAGACTTTAGTCTTTGCAACTTTACAGATCTTCTTTATGCACCAAGAGCTTGTAACACTCCAAAGAGAAAGGAAAACTTGAAATCGCATCATACGACCCCTTTAATGTGCTGTGCATTTTAAATAATTATTTTTTAAAGAGCCTGTCTCAAGCTGGGGTGGTCTCTTGCATTCATTTGCACTCTGTTTACATTATCAATGTCACTTCAGAGTACTCATGCACATCTCTAGAAATAGTAAAATGCATTGCCAATGTTGTAATGCTTAAATATTTGAAACAACCCAATAAATTCATTAAACATCTAACATTTAGGTATTTCAGACTTTAGAGATTATCCTAACTTTAAAACGAAAAAAAAATGTAAGAATTATAAAAACTTCTTCTAAGTTATGTCTTTAGAAAAAATAAGTCAAGACCTGTTTTTAAGAATACAAAATATTCTTAACTTTTGTTGAGAATATTTTTTTAAATGAAAGTTTTGTGAAACTGACCTCTGAATTACGATGACCAACATTTTGTCATAAACATGTCAAGTGCTTACTTGGAAAAAGGTTCACAGTGAGTTATAGTCTTTTTACCACTGATTATGTTATTGTAGGATTGACATACTCTGTTGTTCCTAAAATGAGATATTGAGATATGAGATAAATTAGGTAGTCTAAATAGTTGTATTTTCCTCTCCTAATTTTTGTAGATGAATAAGGCTATTGTGTACATCGAAGAGATGAATAGTGTGGCTGATGTCACATTCCCAGCAGTGCCTCAAGTGGTGTCATTGCTGCTGTATGATGATACAATTAGGGCCAAGGACAATCCCCACCCTCCAACCGGCTATCCTGTTGTGTGTGTTACGGTGAGTAATCCCATAGATTTTTTTATTTTGTTTATTTCTTTAAATTTACCATATAAAGACAAAAAAAGCTTCAGAAAGTATGAATGTACATCTTACATCTTGCAAAATGAGAAGGCAAAGTGACCTCATCACATAAATGCCAGTCAAAATGAAGTACCAAGAGTGAACCAATAATTAAATGTTGTCATTCAACAGTTTTAGTCTCTCATTCTTCCAAAAAAACACATCAATAATTCTGATATTTTCTCGTGTCTATGTTCTATCAGGCCTGCAACCCCAAATACTTTGACTTTGACAAGACTGGCTCCATTTGCTCGGTGGAGAACATCAATGACACAATGACTCAGTACCGCTGGATGGTTAGTGCCCCTAGTGGACCGGATGGAGTCACCAGCCCCATGCGAGAAGTGGACACCAACACCTTCTTCACTAACACCAAGTCCATCAGCTTGGACTCCATCTACTTTCAGTCTGGTTCCCGCGTACAGTGTGCCGCCCGAGCCTTCAATGCCAATGGAGATGCTGGGCTGGAGCTTAGTTCACCCATTGTGGTCATCAGCCGAGAGGAGGGTGAGGTTTTTGTGACCACCATGATTTGAACTGCTCCTCATTTCTTTAAAAAATATTAATGTGAAATTCAACAAAGCACAGGGTTTTGCGTGTTTGTTTTGCTGTTTTCTGAGAATTCAAGGAAAATGAATCAGTTTAAAATTGAATCAAGTTGTCTACCATCCTTAGGCCTGTGTCAGCCTCGTATACCTGGCACAGTGGGCGCTGAACCGTTCTCTGCTAAAATCCGTTACACCGGCCCGGATGACCCGGACTACCCCAATTTGATCAAACTCACTGTTACCATGCCGCACATGGATGGTAAGGGACCACCTCCATAACAAACAATGCACTATTAAGCAAGCAAGTGTCAATCAAACTGTCTAAAAAGTCCAGGGTATTAATCTCTACTGTTTTTCCTCAGGCATGCTGCCTGTTATCTCCACACGTCCCCTTTCAAACTTTGAGCTAACCCTTAGTCCAGATGGCACACGAGTAGGTAACCACCGCTGCTCTAACCTCTTGGATTTCAACGAGATCCAAACAGCACATGGTTTCATCACTGACGCCACAAAGAACCCAGAAATTATTGGTGAGACTTTACCGTACCAGTACAGCATGGCCATGCGTAGCACCAATTCCCTTCGATTCTACCGCAATCTTAACCAGGAGGCATGCCTGTGGGAGTTCAGTAGCTACTACGACATGTCAGAGCTGCTGAATGACTGTGGGGGATCCATTGGCACAGATGGACAGGTAAAGATTTAAAGAATCTGTGTCATTCAAAGCTATGTTCAAATAATATTTTGAGCCAAGGTAATTTTTTAAGGTAAAAAAAAAAAGATTATGTAAAATTCTATATATGTATACTGTATATACTGTTTAAATTGATATACTTTTTAATGCTTCTGAAAGAAGTCTCTTCATTCAAAAATTCAGTAAAACAGTAATTGTGAAATGTTATTTCAATTTAAAATAATTAAAAATATATATTTTAATATACTTTAAAATGTATATATATTTCATCCTTGCTGAATATACCGGTACATTTTTTATATTTTATGTAGAAGTATTTTATATGGCAACTACTTGTATCTTTTATGATCTTTTAGGTTTTTTTCATGTTTAGCATTTGGTCAGTCTGAACAAGTCACATCTTATCAAAGAAACAAATATTTAAATATCTATAAGGGTCTCACTTTATATTACGTGTCCCTAATACCTGTGTACTTACATACAGTGTTTAAATTGGGCCGGGGCCATCCAGGGCTGAGCCCCGGGACATAAGACTTCAGGGATCGGCATTAAACGCTTCATTAACGTCAGACAATAACATGATTAAAACATCAGTAACCAAAAATAACTATGTAAACACCAAAACACAAGTATTCTTCTGATTTTATTACATTTAGAGTAAGTGGTGAATAGTGGATATAGCTTCTGTATATAATACATCTATTGAAAGTATACAACTATAAGGTTGTGTTGCTGAGGCGAGGCTCACGCAGCCTCCAGGAGAAATCAAAATGCGCAACACTAAGAAATTCTAAAATATTTAAAATAATCTCATAATATTATTTAAAGCAGTTGTATTTTTCAGTGTAAATTATTTAATTTGATAACGTATAGATAATCACATTATTATAATTGAATTTATAGATCAATTGTAAGAATTTCAAATGAAAGTATTAATGAGATTAGTGGGAAAATGCACTCTGCAAAGGTAAATAAAAAATGCCCTTGGATAAAATATAAAAAAACACGCAGATTTATGTCACAGCTGATAGAAAACTGATGAGAATATTGCTTCAGAATAAATCATATTTGCAAAAAATCAAAACACACACACACACACACACACACACACATACACATTTTCAGTCCTTTTAGAGAAGCCGACAAGCTCAGCCAGCCGATTCATTGCTGATTGATTCCGTTTGGTTGAATCAGTTTCGTTAGCCCACGCATAAACATCTGATGAATCTGCCGTTTGAACGAATCATTTGAATGAACGACTCAATGACTCACTCATTAAACACTACTGGCACTGGCGTTTTAATTTCGTTGAAAAGTATCATTTCCACCATCATTTCTTGTTTGTATTTTCAAAAATATTTAAAAGAATCTCATAATATTATTTAATGCAGTTGTAGTTTTCAGTGTAAATTATTTAATTTGATAACGTATAGATAATCACATTATTATAATTGACTTAATAGATTAAATGTAAGAATTTTAAGGGTGGAATGGGATCCAGGGGGGGGAGATGGGTAGGTTTAAGGGTGGAATGGCATCCAGGGGGTGGAGATGGGTAGGTTTAGGAATATGTAAAGTGGGAGGAGTTGGATCTCGAGTTGGAGTTGGTGCGCCACTGTAATACCAGTGTACTTACATGGCAACTCCTCAGGAACTGTCCACTTAATATTAAAGTGTAACATTCTGGACACCAACCACAATTTATTTGTAAAGCCTAACTTACTGGCCACTGCTGTGTAACATCAGAGTAATTACATGATAAATCTAATATAAAGTGTAACACTTTCTTTACCAAAAAGTGCTGTTAGTGCTGTTACACATTTGTACTTTCATTACCAAAAAAGTGTTGTTACCAATGTCCTGTTACACATTTGTATTTACACATACCTTTCAGTGGGTTGTCACATATGTGTAGTTACACAAACATTAGAGCTGTAGATACTATGTACCAATGTGTACTTACACTGTGGTTACATACTACACATCTAGTTACTATGTAAGTACACAGGTATTAGGGGCACTTAATATAAAGTGGGACCTATATAAATTATACATACAAAGTAAATAAATAAATAAATAAAATTAATTGTCAGGAACTACAGTTATAGAAAAAAAAAGAGATATATGCAAATTCTTATTGAATCTTATTCTTATTCATAAACATTTTCATAGAGACTAAAAATCCTGAAAGTATTTGAAAATGTATTTCCAGCTTCAACTCCCAAAAACAGCATTTTTTATTATTACGACTCCAAGATTCTTGAACATTTTACACAAACATGTTTTAATGTGTTTTCCTCTGTTCCTGTGTCTGTAGGTGCTGAATCTGGTTCAGTCCTATGTAACCCTGCGGGTGGCTCTGTTTGTGTCCTATGTCTTCCACTCTCCGGTTGCGGTTGGCGGCTGGCAACATTTTGACCTACAGTCTGAGCTGCGGCTCACCTTTGTGTATGACACTGCCATCTTATGGCAAGATGGTATTGGAAGCCCACCAGAAGCTGAGCTGCAAGGTAGTATAGATATGCCATACTGCCACAAGTACTGGAAGCACACATTTAACTACAAGTATAGTGATGCATCAGAAATTCAAACAGTGAATTTAAATTGACATGAATATAGATCAACGCAGCTTTTTAAAACATTTATCAGTATATATCAGTCTTTGTGTACACATAAACCAAAGAAATTCACTGTAACCTGATGTTATCTGTGCAATTATTTTTGTAGGTGCCATGTATCCCACCAGCATGAGAATAAACGATGAAGGCCGTCTTGTTGTCAACTTCAAGACTGAGGCTCGATTTAGGGGACAGTTTGTCATGACTCACCCAGGTAACCTAAAATACACTGACATAGGTACAGATGGGCACAGACACACTCATACCTGTTGACAGGCTCTCCTATCATTTATGCTGTCAAACGCTGTCCCAAAGAGATGTATCTATAAGCTACAGTATAATATGCGCCCTCTAATGACCCTCCTGACAGAAACCTCTACTGTCTTCTACTGTTACTGTTAGCGACATTACATTTCACAAACTTCTCCATTCTTACCTCACACTTTATTAGGGGTAATTAGAAAAGAAATGGTTCTGAAATTTGGTGCTGTGGATGGCCAAAACATTTCTCATTATATGTTTCCTTGTTTACACTTTTTTGTTTTGTTACTGTCAAAAGCATGTTTAGTGTTCAAAAAGCGTTGCATTATAATTGAGTAACCGCATCTCGTGATAAATAGGTGCATTATTAGCATTACAGTTATATTAATAATAAATATTATGGCCTGTTTGTAACATATTTTGGAATTACCCTTTACTAACGCAGTAAATGGACACCTGGCAGGTCTTTAAAAATGATGAGTCTCTCTGAGTCTGAGCTCACTCCGCTTGTAAATGTAAACATGATGCTTTTTTTGGATCGTGTTTGTTTTTCTTTAAATTTATTTCTCATGTGGCGCCTTGTTGGAGATACAGTCTCAAAAATTACCTCATTGCGATGTATTTCATGCGAGTGTCCAGACTTCTTTCAAATTATAGATGGTGAATTCATCCTCATCAGTGCCAATTCATACTGTATAATTTCACTTGGTTATTTCTCTTCTCTGAGCTTCATACTGGTCACGCAGTAGTAACTTTAGCAGTGCATGGGCTCTGATTGGTCGATCAGTACACTGGCATAAGATATGTTTTGTAATTTTTTTTTAAATACATATATTAATTTGACTTATTTTCATTGATAAAATAAATTACACGATTTCTAAATAAAAGCAATATTACAGTTCACATTTTTCTAAGTTAATAAAGGTGTCACAAATTATCCTAGATAAATGTTAGCTACTAAAATAAACTGGACTCTGCTAAGATTTTTTTTTCTTTCTTTCTGAAGTTGTTCAATTAGATTTTTTAATATCTGGGATTTGTATTGGCTTTCAGGAACCACTTTGTCCTCAATGGTCATGTCAGCGGACCATGCTGGACTCACATTCACTCTATCCCTGATCAGAACTGAGCCCACTTACAACCAGCCCATGCAGCAATGGAGCTTCGTTTCTGACTTTGCTGTAAGTTCAGTTCTATTTTCTACCTTTTTGTTTCTTTTAGATAGTCGGGCATAGTATTCATAAATGTAGTTTATAGATTTTATGAATATTACAAAAGTAAACTGATCATAATGTGTGTGTGTGTGTGTAGGTAAGGGACTATTCCGGCACCTACACTGTGAAGCTGATTCCATGCATTGCTTCACCTAACGGGGAGTTCAGCATACCCCCTGTGTGTCACCCGAGGGAGCCCCTCACCTTCGACATGGACATCCGCTTCCAGCAGGTTGCTTTCAGCTTTTTCATTGACGTGGAATATGGAATTGACCTGTTTATCATTGATTCAACAATATGTATATATGTATGTATGTATTGTGCTGTTTCTCAGGTGAGTGACCCTGTAGCAGCAGAGTTTAGTTTGAACACACAGATGTTCCTGCTGTCTAAGAAGGAGCTGTGGCTGTCTGATGGCTCAATGGGCTTTGGAGAGGGCACAGACACTGCCTTCATGGAAGGTACAAGATTCCAAGAGCAATATAATTCTTTAAATATTAGTTTAGGAGAAAATAGTTGAATTTATTATTCATTTAGTCCCTGTATTGAGTCTGAACCCTCATTCTGATTGGTTCCCTTATAGATTCGAACATCTATGGTCGTGTGATGGTGGACCCAGTGCAAAACCTGGGTGACTCTTTCTCCTGCAGCATAGAGAAAGTGTTCCTTTGTACTGGCACAGACGGCTACGTGCCAAAGTACAATCCTACCAATAAAGAGTATGGATGCCTGGCTGATGCTCCATCCTTGCTCTATAGACTCAAGATCCTGGTATGTATTTTTTTTCTCATACCCTTCTTACATTACTGTACCTTTCATATAAATGTTCATTATTAATGTAGATCTCACAACTACGTGGATATTTATTTGAAAAGAGGAAGATCAAAATGTCAATGACTTATAAGATTGTCCATGATAAAGAACAAATATTTTATATTTTATACCATTTAAGTTTAAAATGTGTCTAAGAATGATATGTGGTTTCAAAAAAGTTTTACTATATATATATATTTATTTTTTGGCGAGGGGTGGGGAGGGGGGGGGTAGTTGCACTTTACAATCTAAACTAAATTTGCCTTGTCATAAGGAGGTCAAATTATATTTCATATGTATTCTGCATTTTGCTCACACCAACATGACATTTTTAAAAAAAAATATTAATAAGCAATGATGCAGTTGTTATCCTGCCCCCCCCCCCCCCCCCCCGACCTGGCCAAGACAAAAAA